TTTCTTTCAATAGTTATTGTGAAATCTGCGGTCCGTGCTACAATTGCTGGTGAAATTCATCCAATTCCATTGAGTTAATATCAAACTGTTCATTAATGTTTCACAGCAATGTCTTTAGTACATACCACTGTATCTGCCATCTGTAATGCACAAGAGGTTAATGGTCTGTGTTAATATAATTAATAAAAGTCTGGAATCTGACATAACTCAGGTCAAACTGTCATTAAAATTTTATGTTAAAGAAAAAGAAAGTATGTGAGAGAGAGGCAGCTTCATGCTCCAAGGCTTTTAAGAACATAGGCATTGCCACGCCAGGATCAGACCTGCGGGTTACCTAGCCCAGTAACTTGTCTGACAGTGGGCAGTATGAGATGCTTCAAAGAAGGTGCAAGAACCCCACAGTAGCCTCACATGGGATAGTCGGAGTGTATCCTCTTAACCCTTAATAATTACAGATTGGCTTAAATCCTGAAGATTGAGGTATAATATCCCTCCTGAAACTTTTTAAGTATCTACTATAACTGTATAGTTACCCCTATAAAAGGTCCAGTACCTCATCTCTCTCATTCAGTAACTAAGAGGAAATTAAGTACTAAAACTAGTCAAGCAACAATGGCTGTTTCTCTCTGACACTCTTTGGAACAACTTAGGTCTTGTCTACACTCAGACCTCTATTTACTACGTTGCTCAGAGGTGTGAAAAATCCACACCCCTGAGCGACATAGTTATATCAGCCTAACCCCTTGTGTAGAGAGTGCTACATCAGTGGGAGAGCTTCTCCTGCCAACATAGCTGCTGCCACTTGTTGGGGGTGGTTTAATTATGCTGATGGGAGAGCTCTCTCTCGTTGGCGTAGAGCGACTATACGAGAGATCTTACAGCGGTGCAAATGCATCAGTACAGCTGTGCCACTGTAAGCTCTCTAGTGTAGACACGTCCTAAGCTGATGGGAGAGTTCTCTCCCGTCGGCTTAGAGCGTCTTCATTAAAGTGCTGTGGCGGCACAGCTGTGCCAATGCAGCATTTTAAGTGGAGACAATTCCAGTGTTGCCAACTCTCATGGCTGATCAAGAATCTCACGAGAGTTGATATTTTATTGAAAGCCCCAGCTCCTGGTGGTGGGTGATTCTGCCAGAATCTCAGCTTTCAGTGGCCAGACTTGTGAGGCCTCCACTCAGCGTGATGGCATTTCTCTGGTTGGATGTAACTCGGTAACTTTTGAACATGGCAGCTGATCAATTCCAAAAATGTCAGGGAATGTTCTAGGCCAGTGTTTTTTCACCTGTGGGCCGTGGACCTCTGGGAGTCCGCAGACTATGTCTAAGATTTCCAAAGGGGTCCGCACTTCCATTTGAAGTATTTTAGGGATTTGCAAATGAAAAAGGGTTGAAAACCATTATTCTAGGCATCACCAGGCAGAACCTTATTGATTTTGGTGACGAATGGAAAAAACAGAAGTGGAGAAATATGGAGCTCATGGCATCTGCTTTACAGCTGACGGGTGTGCTAGCAGGTCTGCGGTTGCCTACAGATCAATGAACTGGTTGATAGCACCATTAACACCTACTAGTATAACACCACCAGCCTCCACTGCAGCTCTACCCTTCGTCCCAACACCTCAAATGACTGCTCCTGCAGACAGAAAGAAAAGGAATCAGAACGGTGGGGAGAGGGGAATGAGGGAGCCCACAGACCCTGAGTATGGGGGCACACAGAGCCCCTTGCATGGCTAAAAGCCATGAGCAGTTAGGAACAACAATTGTGGGCCAGAGCTTCAGCCAGCAGGAGGGAGAGTGAAGGAAGTTTCATTCTTTTTTCCCCTCCTACCTCGTTGTGACCCCAAAGCCTGCTCCATTCTGGGGGATGGGAGGGTGGGGGGCGAGCAGCTGTCTGTCCATCCCTTCCAATCCAGAGGGAAGAAAGAAAGAGTAGAAAAAGGAGAGAGAGAGAGAGCGCGCACACGCCCTGGCACAGAGTGGAGAATAGCAGGAAAAAGGGGAACACAGAGCCCCTGGTATGGGGGGCATCAGGGAGTTCCTCAAACAGAGGGGGCAGGAGGGTCGCATATAGAGGGCTTTTGGGGGGAATTGAGGGATGCCAGGAGCCCCAGGTGTGAGCTAGGCCCACAGAAGCAACCACGTGTGTGACCTCCCCCCAGTATTAACACAAGTATGTTTTTAATGCTCATGTTTACAGAGAAAATCTTGAAATTATGACCTGTGTGTGCTCGAAAGGCTCAGAACCTAGAAGGCAAAGAAACTCTCGCTCTCTGATTTTTGAGGTCCTGCCTCATGATTCTAGGCTGTTTGAGGCTGGCAGTACTCAAGTTGATAAGAGACACGTTCTGAGCTCTGACAAACTTTGAGGAGGGTCAGTGATGCAGGCCCCCTGGTGCTCTGGAACTCCCAATTAATGCTCCATTTGACTTGTCTGGTCATTAGACATGCCTTGACATGCATAAGTACAGTGGGTAATTCAATCGGGGTCTGGGCAACACTCCCACTTTGGAAAGACTTACATAATCACAGGCTGCTGTCTCTGGCTCAGATCCTGCCAGCAGCTGTGTTGGTATGGCCCCGTATGCCTGCAATGTGTCCCTTAGGACCCACCCCGGTGCATCTGTGTGCCAGATCAGGCCGAATAGGTCATTGTCTTTCTTATGCGTCATAGAGATTCATATTTTGGAAAGCTACAGTAAAAATGTCACAAAAACATATTGCCTATAAAATACCAAACAAGAGAAGTGATTCCTTTCCATTGGATTTTGTCAGAACAAAAGCAGATTTTAGCGGGTAGGGACTACCTCCCCACCCCCCTCAGAATGCCCGAGAAATCAGTTCAAAGGCGAAGTCTGATTAGAAACAATTACTTTACTTAATACTAAATTACAGCGATAGAGCATCATTCACCTAAAATGGTCTCCAATGCCTTTGTAAACTCAGAGCCTGATGCTGGAGGTTGGAATTTAGGAGCCTAAGAGAGTTAGGCACCTAATTCTTTAAACCCATTAGGCAGTCCCAGCTGTGATCATTACACACGCAAGCAGTCCCATTCACAGGTATGCGGGGACATTTACAATCTATGGGCCTGATCCTGTACAACCCCCCTGTAGCTGATTAAGCTACTTCATGGAAATAATCCTTTGAGTGCCAAAGGAATTACTCCTGCGAGTAAAGTTACTTGTGTGTGTAAAGTTTCGGGAGCCAGGTCCTATAACGAGGGGCCACTTAAAAGCACCACTGAATTAAAAACATTTAACAGCAAAATTCCACGACAACAGTTTTGTGGCCTGATGCAATACCTACTGAAGTCAACGAGAAGAGTCCAGTTGGCTTCAGTGGCCATTGGATGAAGCCCTAGGAAAGGAAAAGAGGAAGAATTTCTTATCTAGGGGTTTGCAGACACCTAAATAGAAGAGCCAGCTTTCAACTCATGCGCCTGTAGCAGAGCACAGGTTTTCCAATGAGCCTAATAATTAGGGTTACCATACGTCCGCTTTTTCCCGGACATGTCCGGCTTTTTGGTAATCAAACCCCCGTCCGAACATGTCCGGGAAAATGCCGGCCGGGCACTTCCCCTCCCGCGGCGGCTCTGCTCCTCCCCTGACTCTTTGGCTCTGTTTAAGAGCCGAGCGCTACGGGCTTCGGGCAGCCCCCACGCCTCCGGACCCTGCGCCGCCAGAGCCCGGGAGGGGAAGTGCCCGGCCGAGGGCGCAGGATCCAGAGTCATGGGGGCTGCCCAAAGCCCTCGCGCTACCGGCTTCACGGTTTGCCGGGCAGCCTCCAGACCCTGGGCCCCCGGCTGGGCGCTTCCCCTCC